CATATGTCACATTATATTTACTGATTTTCATGTGTTGTACCATCTTTCATGTTTGGAATGAACCCACCTTCCTCACAGTATATTATCTCCCTAGTGTGTTACTGAATGTGGTTTGCCAGTATTTTCGATGAGAAGTTTTTGCATGTATATTTACTAATAAAATTGGTCTGTATGTTTTTGGAAAAAAAAAAAAGATGGAATCTCACAACTTCTTTGCAGGCTCAAACTGCTGTCTTTCTGATCTCCTACTCCCCAGTATCTTGACTAACACTGTTAATTATTGAATAATACTGACCCATATTTCTTTTTAGGATATGCTTACGAGTTTAAAAGGAGATAATAATAATTTTTGTTTTTTTATATTATTTTAAAAGATCTCATAAAATACTTTAGTGTGAGCATATTGAATATAAAGAAGTCAAGAACATTAATATTTAGGGAGAAAGTCATTATAGATTACGATTGTAAGGAGACCAATTGCAGCTTTAAGAAAATAGTTATAATTACCTAATAACTAAAGAGATAATCCAGAGATTAATAAACATTGTTTTCTCTTGTGTTATACATCCTATTGTTCCATGTATTGACTTTGATTTTGGTTTCTTGCATATAGTACACAAGACCAGCTTCTGACATCAACATGCTGGGGGAAATGATGTTCGGCTCAGTTGCAATGAGCTACAAAGGCTCTACCTTAAAGATACACTATATACGGTGAGGTTGGCCACCTTCTGCTTGTGAGAAATAGTTTGGAAATGTTGACTCCTAAATTTAAAAACTCATTTCATTTCTCCTCTCTTTTTCAGTTCTCCTCCCCAACTAATGATTAGTAAAGTTTTCTCTGCTAGAATGGGTAGCTTCTGTGGAAGTACAAATAAGTAAGTGTGAGAATTTTCATTCCTTTCTTTTGTGGGGTGTCTGTTTCTGCATAGACTCCTTCTTTGAAGGACACAAGATATTTTGAGGGACTGGGAATGTGGCTTGGTGGGAAAGTGCTTGACTGTCATGCATGAAGCCCTGGGTTCGATTCCTCAGTACCACATAAACAAAAAGCTGGAAGTGGCTCTGTGGCTCAAGTGGTAGAGTGCTAGCCTTGAGCAAAAGAAGCTCAGGGACAGTGCCCAGGCCCTGAGTTCAAGCTCCAAGACTGGCAAAAAAAAAAAAAAAAGATATTTTAAAATGCAAAGCAGATGAACACAGGATTTACAGCACTTACTAATAACAGTGAGTGGGAAAAGGCCTTGACTTTCTCAGCTGGCCTTAAAACAAATAATTGGTTGCTTTTATCTTGGGTCACCATTTGTCATCCCCTATGTACCTACTGTCAGTCATCAAGTTTTACTTCTCTTGAAAATATAAAGGGGAAAAAGAAAATAGTTACATTAATGATTTTGTGCTATTCCCAGGTATTTATCTTTTTTGGGTGGGTAGGGGAGCTTGCATTGCTTTGTTACATGCTCAGACTGGCTTTTACTGGTAATCCTCTTGCCTCTGCCTCCCACATGCTGGGATGAGCAGGAACCACAAGTCTGGCTTATTCTATGTGTATAAAAATCTTACTTATTTCTCAATGATTGAAAGTACTTTCTGTTTTTTTTTTTCCTGATGAATGACACTAATGCATAACAGTGGTTGTCTGTATTTTCCAACTATCCTAAATAGTCAGTTTAGTCTTTGTGACTGGTGGGTACTTGATCCATGTAGTATTTTGAGTTTTGTTGATTTCCCAATTTTTTTAAACAGAACTTTTTTGCATTATGGGGCTTTGAACTTGGCTACATGCTTTCTTGACTTGTTTGTGCAGCTAGTTCTCTACCCTTTCAGCCATAACCCCAAAATTTTTGTTATTTTGAAGATGGAATCTCATAGATTTTTCTGCTTAGTCTGGTTTGAACCAAAATCTTCACGTGAGTAGCTAGGATTATGTTTGTTTTGCTTTTTTGTGTGTGTTAATGCCAATAAAACGTAAGTCCTTTGTGTGTGCTAGGCAAGCACTCTGAACTGAACTTTATACCTTTTTTTTTTTGTTTGTTTTTTAAAGTCAGTCATGGGGCCTGAACTGTGGGCCTGGGTTCTGTCCCTCAGCTCTTCAGCTCTACCACTTCAGCCACCGAGGCACTTGTGGCTTTTTCTGCTTATGTGGTGCTGAGGAATCGAACCCAGAGTCTCATGCATGTGAGACAAGCACTCTACCACTGAGCCACCTTCTCAACCCCTATATCTCTTTTTATGCTTCTTTGTAGACCAAGTATATGGAAGTGTCTAACTTAAACTCTCACTATATATCTGTTTGTATATGTTTGTGCGTTTTTAACTTTCAAGCAGAAATGCTTCCTGTGTTTTTTAAAATAAAATAATGAAGACTGTTACACTTTGATAAATTTAAAAGACATTCAAAATTATTGTAAATTTGTAGGGGTCAAATGAAGGTTTTTTTGTTGTGCTTAGTGGTGGGGTTTGAACTGAACCTTGTACCTTGCACTTGCTATGCAGGTGCTCTATTACCCCACCCCCAGCCCATGTTATTTTTATTATTGTTATAATCATCATACATTAGCTATACTAGGTTCAATTGTGCTATTTCTATGCATGTGTATGATGGTTTCCAGTCAATATCTCCTTCTCTATGCCTACCTCTTACTCCCCTCCCTCTTTCTAATATAATTACAGTAGATTTCATTGTTCTGTTTTCATACATGTTAACAATCTATTTTGATCATATTTATCATCTTTCATCCTTGTCAGCCCTACCCCTTTGTTTCTCTTTCCTGTTTTCCCAAAGCCCATATTGATCAACAGCTTTTATTGACGATTATTATGCTATTTTTATATGTGGTTAGAGTATATCTCAAAATATTTAACATTTATTTATTTATTTATTTTGGTCTGGTCATGGGGCCTGAACTCTGGGCCTGGGCGCTGTCCCTCAGCTCTTCAGCTCAAGGCTAGCGCTCCACCACTTGAGCCAGAACAACATTTCCAGCTTTTTTCTTTTTGCTTATGTGAGGAATCGAACCCAGGGCCTCATGCATGCAAGGCAAGCGCTCTACCACTGAGGCACCTTCCCAGCCCTGTTTTCTTTGTCTGTTTGTTTTTTCTTCCTCCCACCCCCTCTAATTTGGTACCAGTTCCAGGGCTTTAACTTAGGCTTCACACTCCAGTTAGCTTGTTTGCTTGTTCACTCACTCACTCAGGAATGGCACTCTACCATGTGGCTGTATCTCTAGCCCCCATGTTATTTTTTAATAATCTTAGGAAATTGAAAATATTTTCCACTGCATATCTCAGTACCATTCAGTCTTTGCTAACCCTTGCAACAAAATAATTTAGGCACCTATCTTTATCCACTTTATTTATCCTTTATTTTGGTCTCAAACTGTAGATATTCTGTCTAAGAGTATGAAGTGCTAGGATTATAGGCATACAGCACCATAGCTAGTTGATATTTCTTATGTATTTTTTCTGCCTCCCCCATATTTTATTACACTAGATTCATGTAATAAAATATCAGTCTCAGAATTAAGTAAAAGTTACTTTGACTTTACTATGCAATGTTTACCTCAAAAAATGTGATATTTAGTTTTTAAAAAAATATTTTTAAGGGCTGGAGGTGTATGTAGCTCATCTGGTAGAGTGCTAGCCATTTAGCAGAAGTGTCGGGTACCAAGTTTGCATCCTAATCTGAGACCTGAAAAAAAGGAAAACTGAAAACTTCTAATCTGCTTCCTTACATTTTTTATAAATTCAAAAGTTTTAGAAGTTGTGAAATCCATTTCATCATAATTTTAACTTATCTTCCTCCTGAAAAAAGTTGCTGAATTATTCATAGATGTTAGCCTAGAGTTAAAATTAATTTCACTTTGAAGATTTATTTGAAGTCCTTGAAATGAGTAGCAACATGTTGGGTGTCAGTTGTTAAGCAAAATATAGATGCGAATAGCAGTATTTTACTTTATTTATTTTTTAATTTTAGATGTCAGTTATTGAAGCAAAATTTAGACCCTTTATAGGATATGAAATGGATAGAATGTAGTTGTTTAGTATGCATTGGGTAACTTCCAAAAATCTTTCCTCCAACAAGTTTCCAGAAGTTGCCAATTTTATTTCCCTTGGTATATGTGACATTCATTTATAGAGAAAACCATTGTGTAGTGACTGGTTAATTGTCTATATTAGGGAGTGTATCTACTAGAAAGTAACTTTATTAGCCTTTTGATATCTTTGTTTTCTCTCTCCTCCCCACTCTGGATTTAGTTTGCAAGACAGCTTTGAGTACATCAACCAAGATTCTCATATAGGAAAACTGAACGCAAATCAGAATGGTTTGGGGCCTGGTCGTACTGGAAGTAACTTAGGTAAAATGAGACATAAAAATTTTTTTCTCTCTGAGTACCACTATTATGGGTGCGTTTTGCTTTATTTGAGTTTGTTGTGCTGTGTTGTTTTGATTTGTTTTTGCATTATCTTTAATCTATGTTTATTTTGTGTGTATGTGTGTACTTTGCCGTCTCCTGTGTGTTTCTGCTCTAGGTCTGCTACAGGCTTGCAGCAGCAAACTGCTGCAGGGGGTGGCTGAAGGAGGACCTCTCCGGCTCACCCGGAGTGCTTCTTTCTTTGCAGGTTTGTGTGGAATGCTGAGTACAGTGTGGCCCACACACATTAATCAATTCTATGCAGGTTCTTGTGGAAAAATCTACTTGTGCTCCTCTAGAAACCCAAGGGGCTCTCAGGATAAGAGATATTAGTTTCAAATGTATGTTTTGAAATGTCTGCCCCTAAATTTTTACTGTGAACATCTCTGTTAATACCACAGTATAAGCTGATTTTGATCTGAAATGAGCCCTTAGTGTTTCTAAGAGGATTATTTTTTCCTGACTTTTCTGAGCAGCTGCTGCTGCTGTGAACTCTTTTCCTTTACCACAGTGTCCATTATACATTTATCCACTTGCATCATTACATGCATGGAGTTTCTCTAAAAGTTACTCTTCTCTAAAAGAGCATGGGAGGTATATCTATTTATCGATCTATCTCTTTCTGTCTTTTATATTTAAGTAATAAGTACAATTTCTAGGTTCCTAATAGGTATAGTCATCTTAGTGTTTGGGTATTTTCTGAGATTTAACTGGCTTTGCCAGCTAAAACTAGCAAACATTAACAAGTGTGGGGATCTTCATTACTAATTTAAGGTTGTTAGTATGACAAATGTTTTTTATTTGTCGAGTTTTGTAGATGGAAATAGGTTGAGCGCCATAGTTATCTGACACTGTAATAAAACTGATGCCCTCCCAGCTTCTTACAGTGAGGCTACATGTTTATATCCGTAGAGTTGTGAAAATAACCATGCTTTAAAAGACATTGGCAACTTTCTGACAGGACTCTGGACTTCCTGTGTGGTATAAAAATCAATAGAGAAACTTTTCATCTATCTTCCAGCTCAGTAAATATACAGCTTAATTCAATCTAAAGCCTTCCTAGAAAACTATGATACTTAGGCATGAATTTTCAAAATTCATGAGTTTTTCCTATTAACTGTACAGTACTATTTTATATGGCATATATGGGAAACAAGTGAAGGAAGGAATGCTTGAACTGAATATAAATATTTTCTATCTGCCAAGAGGAGAGTCATAAGCACAGAAACATTTTTTGCGTGTATGAAATATTCTCTTTCAAGAGTTGAATATCATTCAAAAATGTCTATGTGCTCCAGTAGAACAAAGACAGATTCTTTTGTTTCCTTCTTTCTCTAATCCTTTTTATGTATTTAATTTAAACTTAGTCCAAATAACTAATCTCCTTTGAAGTATGAAAATTAACTGTGGCTTTAAAAACATATCTCTTACTTTGGAAAGCCTAGTAACATGTTTTCCTTGTACTTGTATCTTAGCACATAGCACACCAGTTGATATGCCAAGCAGAGGACAGAATGAAGACAGGGACAGTGGCATTGCTCGATCAGGTATTTCTTCATACTTATTTAACTAATACTGCAGGCCATCCACTTATGTGTAGAATTGGGAAAGGAGAAAATAGGTAAGTATCTGTGTATCTGTATCTCTGTCTCTGTCTTTGTCTCTGTCCTCTCTCTTCTCTCTCCTATCCTTCTCTCTCTTCCCTCTCTTATTGTTCTTTTCCCTCTGCCCCTCTTTTCTCCTCCCTTCTCTTCCCCTCCTTTTCCCTTTCCTCTTTCTTTCCCCTCTCCTCCTGTCTTTCCCCTTCTCTCCCTTCCCCACCCCTAATTATCCCTCTCTTCTTCTCCCTTCTTTCTTCTTTCCTCTCTTCCCTCTCTACTTTCTCCTCTCCCCTTCTCTCTCTTCTCTCTCTCCTGTCCCTTCTACTCTCTCCTCCTTTCTTCTCTTCTTTTCTCCCCTCTACTCCTTTCCCCTCCCCTCCACTGCTTTCCCCTCCCCTCCATTCCCTCCCCATCCTCCCTCCCCACTCCTCCTTTCCTTTCTCCTTTCCCCTTCCTCTCTCCCTTTCTTCTTCTACCTTTTCTCTTCTCTTTCCCCCTTTCCTTCTTTTCCCACTTTCTTCCTCCTCTTCTCTTTCCCCCCTCTCTCCTTTCTACTCCATATTCTACCATATTCTAAGGTAGTTCTATGTGTCCAAATATGTGAACTTTTCATGTATGACTTGTGGAAATATTAATGCATATACATTTTAAAAATCTAATACCCAAATTAATGAGTCTAGTGTATACTGGGAGATTTCTCTCCAGATAGGGAAAAATATAATCTTACTGAATCTGTTTGGTATGTATACACACATACACACATCACTTAAAGTATATTTAAGTGTAGTTAAAATATTTTGGTTTAAATGGATCAGTTTCATGTCCACAGTCATTTCTGTGAAGTTGAGTGGGAAACCTTTGATCAGAAATAGACCCATATCATTTTCACTCACAGCACCTTTTATACAAATAAAATCAGAAGAAATAAAAGATAATTTATGTTGTGCTAAGTATACTGGTTTTACTTATATTTGGTGATACTGAGGATAACATTATCATTCCTTATGGTAACAATAAACTGAACTTTTGCACTTCATCAGTGACTGAGTATGTTCTGAAGACTATACCATCCCTAGGCTCAGCTTTCTGTTCTTGGGGGCTTATGTGGGCAGGACTGGCCCTGGAATAGTTGTGGTTAATGCAAAGCAACAAAATGTAGGTTTCCTCATGAGTCATAGAGTGGGAAAGAAGCTCTGTAGCCTAAATAGATGACCCTTAGTGAAAATTCCTACCATAGTGGCTGATGGGATTCATTATGTTTAGCTTTTATGGTGACTCTTTACTCAATAAAGAAAGAGGGATTCATAGGGCTTTACTAGTCTGAGCATTCTTGCTTTATTTGTGCATGCCCTTATTGGACAAAAGATTTAGAGATTTTGAGGGAACTAAGATCAACAAAAACATTATTGGAAAGAAATTCTCATTTTCCTTGTCCGTGTTGTACAGGTTAAAATCTTATTTGTGTGATCTTCACATCTACGTCTCTTAAACTAGTTTTCTAATTGGTAGAGAGTGAGGGAGAGTGTGACCCCACTGGATTCTAATGTGACCTCAGGGAGCGGGGAAGTGACTGCCTCCAAGTGTATCAGTTACCTACATGTCACAGATACTGAGCAGAGCCTTAGCCAAGAGGAGGGAGGAGTCGGCTCCACTTTCCCAGGGTGGACCTTACACTGGGTAGGGGAGGAACAAGGTGGGCTTCCTAAGTTGGCCAGAAAATAATTTGAAAAAACAGAAAGGAGACTGGCTTGGAATATTACAGTGATCAGTCTGGGTTGAGGGTTACTGTTAAGGCACCAAAGCAGAGTGCACCCAGGCTTCTTCATCAGCTGTTCTGATGAGGAGCAGAAAGGGAGGAAAGGGTGGGGGTGTCAGCAATCAAACATCACAACATGGTTCCCCACGTAGTAATGCAGAATGATAGTCCATTAGTTCCTGAACGAGTTACTGACTTAACTGATGGAGTACTTGATAGAGAACAATAGGAATGAAAAGGGTACTGATATTTATGTTCCTTTGCAGTACTAGGAATTGAACCCAAGAGTCTTGCCCATGCTCTGTCCCAAGCTCTCTGGTAGTCTCAAGCACTGTTTCTTCATGGGTAAAGGCATGGCACCTGTTCACTTGCACATATGCACACAGACTGAAAGCTTGAGCTCAGCATGTCAATCTTGTTACTACAACCTGTGATCCTGTTAGAACATGAAAGGGTGAAAGGTCTCTGAGGAGCAGCTGGGTCATTTCCCATCTACTTGTTTTATCTTCCCTTGGGAGGCTGTCATAAGCCCTCCAGGGTTCTTTGAAGGTTTGAGGTCCTGTCCTATTCCTTCTAACCAGGCTGCAGAATGCAAAAATTCTTAGCTGCATAGCAGGTGACAGTTGCTCACACCTATAATCCTAGCTACTCAGGAGGCTAAGATCTGAAGATTGTGGTTTGAAGCCAGCCAGGTAGAAACATTTGTGAGATTCCAATTAACTGCCCTAAATAAAAAGCCACAAGTGAAGCTTTGGCTCAAGTGGTAGAGCACTAGCTTTGAGGAAAAGCTCAGTATGCTTTCCTTCTTTTTTTTTTTTTTGGTCAGTCCTGGGGCCTGAACTCTGGACCTGGGCGCTGTCCCTCAGCTCTTCAGCTGAAGGCTAGCACTCTACCACTTGAGCTGCAGCCCCACTTCTGGCTTTTTCTGCTATGTGGTGCTGAAGAATCAAATCCAGGGCCTCAGGCATGCAAGGCGAGCACTCTACCACTGAGCCACCTTCCCAGCCCCTACTTTCCTTCTTAAGGAATATTTTCTTGGCTGGGCAGGAAGATTGAGTCAGTCTGGCTGCATTATCAAGACTGTGCCAATTTTTTTTCTTTTCTATGCAGAAATATACATGAGAAAAATTGGAGTTTCACTCTATGTTGATCTAACTGGTAGAACCTTACCTATGTTTCTTTTTCATATATTTACTTCATAAATATAGCATAAAATTTACTACTGTGTTTGTGTGTGTATGTTGTATGTATGTACACCAGTCTTGGGGACTTGGGGTCCTGTCCTTGAACTTTTTTGCTCAAGGCTAGTGCTCTACTACTTGAACCACATCTCTCCTGGGTTTTTTTGTTGTTGTTGTTTTTTGTTTTATTGTTTTGTTTTTTTTTTTGTTTGATGGTAAGAGATTCTCAAGGACTTTTCTGCCTGTGTTAGCTTTGAACCTCAATCCTCAGATCTCAGCTTCCTGAGTAAACTAAGATTACAAATATGTGCCATTGGCATCCAGAATCACATAACCATTTTTAATGTAGACTTCAGTAGTACTAAATATATTCATAATGTCATACACATGCAGTTACATAGACTTACTTATACTTTTAAATTTTCTTTGCAGCCTCACTAAGCAGCCTTTTGATCACACCTTTCCCCTCTCCAAGCTCCTCTACATCCTCTTCGAGCAGTTATCAGCGCCGCTGGCTTCGAAGTCAGACAACAAGTTTGGAAAATGGCATCATTCCAAGGAGGTGAGTTGCAAATTTCCTCTTGCTGTAGGCAGTTTAATGTACTTAGAGTAACCATCCATGCCTGTTGTCAACGGAAAAAGAACTGATCCTGTGCTTAGCTTCAGCTTAGCCTGAAAACTTACCAGTTAGAACTTCAAAAGAGGGAATGAATTAAAACAGAAACGTTGAGTAATACTTAGGTAGTTGTACCATGTGTGTAGTAGACTTGATGTTAAAATGCACATACTATCTTTTAAATCTGGATACCTTTCAGATGTAGCTCTGTAAGTTAGGAGAAGTAAAACAAATCTCTTCTTTGGTTTCCCTGTGCTACTTGAAAATATATGACAAATATATAACATATATTTTTCTGATTGTATTAGAAGCATATTCTCTTTGTATAACTTAAAATTTTAAACTAAACAAATATCAATATGAGCATAGAGACACATTAAAGTATTTTATACCCTCATTTCAGTTGATTTTACAATTTGAAGTTTATGTGTGATGTTAACACCAGTACCTTCCAAGGGTTTGAGTTATTCCAAGGAATTGAGTTATTAGGTTTACTAGTAATCACAATGTATAGGGATCTGTAAAGATGTAAAGATGGTTCAGTTATGTTTTGAACTTACGTAGTTGGTAGACTATTAGGGAAGATACAAATAATGGCACAGTTAGATGTGAATTGTAAGATGGTGAAGGGAAGAGCAAGATAGAAAGAAAAATTGACAGTGATAGTTCACTGGGCTGCTTGCTATTTGGTTGGTGGACTTGGAGTGGAATGACTGAGAATTTTGAATCTAATGTGACAACAAATCGCAGCTCTTCCCCTCTTTCATTGTGTGATGAAAATTATTATGTGGATTCTATGTGTTGCTTCCTCATCTTCATCAGGATAATGTGATAAAGCAAATCCTGTGACTAGCAAGAATATGGGTATAGTTGACAAAATTGGCCAAGAAGATACTATTGGTATAATTATTACTTGAGTTGGCACTACAACCATCCAGTTGGTATTATGACAACCTCTATGATAACAGACAGATCTGGAAACTTTTTGCTTTAGACATCTCTACTATAAATATGCTTTGAATTGCTTCAGGTTTGCATCAAAAGTAGACTATGGCCTTTCTCAAACTCCTGAAATTTTTTAGAATTTTAACTTGAACAGAGACCTGGCCATTGGGAACTAATGAATCTCTTATGAACTACCTAAATTATTATTTTATATTTATAAAACCTGGAAAGCCAGGCATGCAGAGGCTCACACCTGTAATCTCAGCTACTCAGGAGGTGGAGATAAAGATTGAGGATCAAGGCTAGCACAAGCAAAAACTTAACAAGACCCTGTCTTAACTAAAAGCCAGGTATGTGATTCATACCTGTGATCCCAGTTAAGTGGGTGGATGTAAGTAGGAAAATTATGGTCTGAGGCCAGCCCTCAGAAGACCCTACCTGAAAAGCAGCAAAACCTGAAAAGTACCTAAAACCAAAAATGGAGTGAGCACATGGATCAAGTGATAGAACACCTAGCAAGTATAAGGCCCTAAATTCAAACACAATATTGCTCTCTCTACCTCTAAAAAAATCCTGGGAATGCACTCAGGACTGGTTACATCATTTATGGGGCCAGGACAAAATGAGAAGGCCAGGCCCTTTGCTCATAAAGCAGCAAAAATGCGACTAAAGATAACAAAGGAGGGGGTAACAATGCTTGATAGGAAATGTACTCATTACCTTACTCATGCAACTGTTACTCCTCTGTACTTTACAATAAAAATTAAAAAAATATAATATGTAAGGCTTTGTCTTTAAAAAATACCTTAAGAGCATAAGCATATAAATCTAAAAATAACAGTTCTGGTATTTTAAAAAACATATAGTAGCAAATATGGACCAGCATAAGGTTTTTTGAGGCCTTCCTAAAGATTCATTTGTTACATTATTAAAATTTACACTTAAAACTGGGAAAAAAATTGAAGGAAGAGGTGACACCGTTTAAAAAGAAATAGCTTGGCGCTGGTGGCTCACACCTGTAATCCTAACTCCTTAGGAGGTTGAGATCTGAGGATTACCGCTCAAAGCCAGCCTAGGCAGGAAAGGCCATGAGACTTATCTCCAATAAACCACTAGAAAACCGGAAGTGGTGCTATGGCTCAAGCAGTAGAGTGCTAGCTTTGAGCTGAAGAGCTGAGGGACAGAGTTCAAGCCCCACAACTGCCAAATAAATAAATAAATAAACTCATTACCTGACATATAACTGTAACCCCTTGGTATATCAAGAAACAAGCAAAAAATAAAATAAAATTTATACTTTTAGCAGGTTGCTTTTCAGTCCATACTAAGAACAATGTTAGTTGCTCCTAACAGCTTCAAAGTGGCCAATACCTTTTAATAATTTTTTACTTAGATATTTATCTTTCTACCAATTCAGAGTCCAGTATTAAGGGAGCTTTATGAACTATGAAGATTATTGGGATAAATTTCTGATACAGTAGAAATTTCAGTACACCTGATCAGGTGGTTCTTATGGGATAGTTTCTCCCAAAGGATTTTGGTTTTTATAAAGATCCATTTTGTATAAGTCTGAATTTCATTTTAGATGAGTATAAATTTTAATATCTGGCTAATTAATGTTTTCTTGACATTTCTTGTAATTTCTGAATATCTTAAAAACTAAAAAGTGTCCACATGAGTTTTATAATTAAGAATGCCTGCTGATGTGTTATATCATTGATTCTATCACATTCTTCAAATATGTGGAAATATTCATTGCAAAATGGTCTTCATTAGTAGTAATAATTTGGTCACTTAAAGAATCTTTGGATGGGGCTGGGAAGGTGGCTCAGTGGTAGAGCACTTGCTTGCATGCATGAGGCCCTGGGTTCGATTCCTC